CCCGGCCCTCGCGCACCTCGCGGCAGAAGTAGCGCTGGAAGAGGTCGGTGAACTGCAGCGACACGAGCTCGGCGCGCAGCGGCGCGTGGTGCGGGTGCTCGCGGGCGAAGAGCCAGTACTGCCGGGCCAGCTCCCGGGCCGCGGCCACCGCGTGCAGCTCGCAGAACTCGCTCCAGCCCCGCGGGGACGGGGACGACGAGGAGGCCGAGGACGCGGAGGAGGCCGAGGAGGGCTGCAGGGTGGGCCCGTTCATGGCGGAGACCGAGGTGGAGCGGCCAGGCTGAAAGACACGATGAGGGGTGGGCAACAAAGGAGGGAGAGCGCAGGTGAGTAGCTGACCACTTTAAACCCCCCACCAGACATGCTATTCCCCAGGCACAAACAACATCAAGAAAAGTACCCTTAATACCCAATGCTGGTGAAGATGCAGGGAAATGGACACTTCCCTGCAGTGCTGCAGCGCTGCTAGGGGCATAGCCTTTTGGAGAGCAATCTGGCAGGATCATTTTCAGACCCAGTAATTCCACTTGTAAGTAGTCGAGAGAAATAGCTGCCCACATGTACACATGCGCAGAGAGGCAGGTACAAGACAATCCCCTGCTAGGCATTTCCTGCCCCAACATTTATGAAAGGGAAACAGTAAATACAACCTTAAGGCCCATCAGTCAGAGACTGGTGAAATAAACTGTGGCACATCTGCAGCAGTGGAAGAGGAGGAGGGAGATCTATGCTGCCACATTTAGGAATCTCCAAGGCCACCACGTTAAGTGAAGAGGCAAACCCCAGAGCAATACCAACTGTGCAATCCCATTTATATGAACACACAAAACCAAACAACCAATTTTTATGGGTACATAAATGTGTTCAAGTGGCGGGCTGGGAAAGTGTGGCTAGAGCAAAAGCATCTAGAAATGGTGGTGAGCTGTGGAGAGGAGCCAGAACCTGGGGTGCAGCAGGGAAGTAACCAAGGAAGACTGCTGCTACTACTTGTCTCTAGAAAATAATGGTTAAGAACATGGCACCTGGAGCCTTGGCTCAAACCCCAGAACAATCACTTACTAGTTGTGTGACCTTGGGTGAATGAGTCCTCTCTGCCTTACTTCCCCCATCTGTAAAATGGGGAACATGGTTGTACCTACCTCACAGGAGTGTTGAGAGGATGCACTGAGTGAGTAAATGTAAAGGCCTTAGAACCTAAGAAAAGCCTAGTAAAGGTTTCAGATATCACAATGAGAGTATATTATTGGTGTCAATAAAAATATAAAACAACAAATGAAAAGAAATAAATTAGCAAGACTCACAAGGGATGCAAAGGTACTTCTTGCTCTGATGGGGAACATCAGGACAGGCAGACCCTTGCCTGCCTATCCCAACTGGGACTCCCAGGCAATCAAAATGGAGAAGCCCCCTACCCTCTGCTGTCCACGGTGCTGAACCCTGGATCTCTCTAGTTACTGTCAGTATCGTCCTTCCTTCCTTCCAACTAAGCCTGGCTGGACCCCTACTGGGGACCACATAATCAGGGCTGCTCATTCACACAGCCCTCCCACTCAGGTACTACTGAGGGCCTACTGTGTGCCAGGCACTGTGCTAGGCCCTGGGGATACAGAAGTGAGCCAGACATACAGAAACTCCTGCTCTCCTGGGACTATATTACACACACACACACACACATTAGCTGTGTGGCCCCTGACACCTGACTGGACCTCTCTGAACCCCAGTTTCCTCATCTGTCAAATGGGGAGCAGCATCGTATCTACCTCCTAAGATGGTTGCTAAGGAGTCCTTGAAAGGGGACTTAAGGTGAAGATCTGAACCTGGAGATTGGAGTTCTTTCTGCCACACCCCACTCCACATCTCCAGGCCAATCACAGCAGGATAGCCCAGACAGCACAGAGTAGGTGCCACTGCACCAGCTGGGAGGGTTGTGTATACACTTGACATTTTTGCATGTCACAGGATCCTCGGCACCTACACACAGTAGGTTCTGTGCACACAGAAGGCAGTCAGTGAAGGCTATTAGGCAGAAGGGAAGGGAGAGGGGCCATATGTGCCCTTGGCCATCACGCTTTGCCAGGAAAACCACCCCTGTGGCTAAGGGGAGGGTTTGACTTACATGTGCGGGCAACCTGTCCTTGGTCAACCCTGAGGCCACCTCACGCCTTGACATAGGTGAGGCCAGGTGACCAGAGAGCTCTCAGATTCCAGACCCAAGCTCCTGTCTCATCCATGAGACCCCATGTCATCTGCCCCCACACTGGTCGGCCGCCTCTACAACTACCTTGGGTGTCCCTGTGCTCTGCCTGCTCCCAGTCTGCTTCCAATCTCAAGAGAAGCCTTCGCTGAGCTCACCAGCGACTGAATCCTGAATTTGTCTACAGCACACTGGTCATGTGCTGTCATTCAATAGCTATGATGATTTAATTAGTGACCATTCATCTCCCCACCAGACTGAGCACCATGACGCCAGGAGCCACTCCGGGCTCCATCCCAAGTTCCTAGTATGCAGTAGGAGCCCAATAAGTGCCTGCTGAATGAATGGATGTAGGAATGCAAGAGGTTGGCTGGATTTGCAGTCTCTGGCTCCCCTGGCAGATGTGTGGCAGCCAGCACCCACCAATGGCCACCCACCTCCTGGGCACCCTGGCCTCTTTCCAGGCCTGTCCCTTTGCCTGAAACACCTGACCCCGTCCACCCCTGCATGTCAGTCTTGAAGCCCAGCCACAGGGCCAGACTCTGGTAGGAGCTTTCACAGAATAGCCATGGGCTGCCTCAAGCTCCCTCACCACCCAGACAATGGCTAACAGCTGACCTCACTGGGCCCCGACTCCAATTCCTCGTAAGAAGTGCTACACCAAGCCTTTGCTATACATAAGGCATTTTTCTAACTGCTTTTGCAAAGCGTTAGCTTTCCCAAGCTTCGTAGCAGCACTAGGAGAGAGGACCAATGATTGCTCCCATTTTACAGATGGAGAAACTGAGCAGAGGTCCCACTGCTAGCGATTAATGGAAACCCCACACAGCAGGCACCCCTACAACACCTGATCAGTGCCTGAACTCACAGCACGAGGACGACTCACTGCCCAATGAATGTTTATCCAGAGGAGGGATATAAAGATCTCATTCAGCTCCTGCTGACATCAGGAGGCCTCAGCTCCTCTGCCCAGGTCCCAGCCCCATCAGGTGGTTGGAAAATAGCCACAGGGTGAAAACGTAAAAACAATAAATGACGTTCTTTCACTGTGCTAAACACTTTGCATTTATTCACTTGTTTATCCCCCACCAGAGGAATTATGCCCGTTTTGTAGATAAGAAAACCAAGGTGTTGGAGGAATGCCCTGCCCAGGGGTCACAGGGCCTGCGAGGCAAGCAGAGCTGGGAGTAGAACCTGGCTTGCTCTGCTGGAAGCACTAGCTAAACATGAGGGATACTGCTCACCATCCATCTCCCTCAGCCTAGGGTATCTGCCCCCGGAGGGCCGAGAGCCCATCTGCCCACTCCTCAGGGCCTGCTCAGAGCAGGTGCTCCAGAAACGTTAGCTGTATGAATTAATGAAGTCCTGGGGTTGAGGCAGGCTGCTATACTCTGACTCCAATACTCCTGACCTGCGTGGATGGACAGAAAAAGCTGTGGGGCTCCGAGAAACCCCTCACCATAGACGACCTCTCTGTGGCGGAGCTACCAAATCTGAGTTCACGTCCTAATTCTGCCACTTCCCTGCTGTGTGATGCAGAATAGTGGGCTTCCTTCTCTGAGCCTCAGACTCCCCAGCTGTGAAACGGGCTCATATTCTTCTGGCACACTGGGAGCATTCTAAGAACTGACGTCTGTGGGGTGCTTGGCACGGGGCTCCAGAAACGAGTGGCTGTTGCTATTTTATTACTATTATTGTTAGAAAAGAGGAGTGCCAGCTCCAGAGAATGGCAGGCCTGCCCGCCACAAGAAGTCACAGGGGGAGCCCGGCTTCATGAGCTGGGCCAGGCAGGGGGTGTCACGGGAGTCCGAACAAAAGGCCTTCTCAGGGGAGAAGCGCTGCTCAGGCGGCTCTGGGCAGGAGCTCCGCACAGAAAATCACCAGCCAGAGCGCTCAGCTGTGGCCTGTGCCAGGAAGGGGGCTGCGCCTGGGAGGTTTCCTGGCCAGGGCAGGCAGCCAGGCCGCAGGAAGGTGGGTCTCTCCTTGGGCCTTGGCCCAGGTGGTAGCATTTATTGAGTGTTTACTATGTGCCAGACACAGGAAGAGCAATTGATCAGATCACGCCAACCCTGGGAAGAGGGCCTAAAAGCTCTTGGCAGGAAACTATTATTAATCACCTGTGGGTTCTCGGGATCACACCCCACCCCCATCCCAGGCTTCCGCTAGGGGGTGTGAGTAGAGGGGTCTGTGGGGCATTTCTATCCTCCCACCCCCAACCAGAGCAACTGTGAGCCTGGGTGGCCAAAGGGATGAACAGCCTTCCACATGGAGTTGCCTGCAAATCCTGGGGGTCCTTCCCACCTTCTCAGCCTGGGGTCCTGGGACAGAGAGGTCCCAGCTGGATGGGGGCGGGGGCTCTAAGACTTCCTAAGAGCCCGCAGCAGAGTGAGGGACAAGGATGACATGATGCGGAGCAGGGAGATGACACTGCATCCTGGCACCACCACCCCACCCCAAGTCCCCAAAGCAAACACGGAGCTGGAAGCAGCAACCTCGGTGCCCATCCTGGGGCTTGGGTCAGGGTGGGGGTGGGTCTCCCTTTCAGAATCCCGAGTTCAGAACAATTGTGTCCATAGAGTACCTGCTAAGGGCAACATAGTGAAGGCACTGAAGCCTTAGCCTGTGCCCAGTGTCCCCCAGTCAAGCAAACACATCCTATACCAAGTCAGGGAGAATTCAGGTTCTGAACAGCTGGGAATCCTAGCTCTGAGCTGTGGGGCTCACTTTAACCCAGGATCCCAGAGATCCAAGGCTCATCAGCCTCTCCTCTATCCAGCCACCCTGGGTAATAATGTAATCTGGGGAAGCTAATATCTCCTGTTTAATTATCAGACCCAGGTGCAGAGAAGGCCTTTCCCCACCTGTGGGAATTCTACCTGCCAAGCCTAGAGGAAAATACGTTAAATTGTGGTAAGTGAAGTTAAAATGAGCCAGTCCAGAGCCTCCATCCTCTCTGACGTCCACAACTCCCTTGCCCCCAGTCACAGATATTTGGGTAGGAAATCTCATACCTTCAGAGGGAGACACCTCCTCCAGGGAGGCCTCTTGGGTTTACTCCAGGCTGCTGCAAGCATTTCTGTCTTTCCCATCCACAGCACCAACTTCCCTAGGAGCCCAGACCTCTTGTCCAAGGAGGTCCAGAGATTTGGGAGATTCCAACACACTTTCTGGCAGGAGACCCACTGCCCTTTCACACCACTTGAGCTGGCCAGACTATGAAGAAGCCTATGGGAAGTATGGAGCAAGGTTCTGGGGCCCATGGAGGCTGAGAAGTAGGTTCTGTCCTAGACCACTGGGCAGCTAGGGGCCCAGATGCGCTCTCTCTGGGGTCACCTAGTGCCTTGGGACATTTATCACACCAGTACAGTCTGCCAGAACAGGAAATGTCCTCTGGCTTCCTCTGTCCCCACCCCCAGTCTGACAGCCTGGCCCACAGCCCAGCCAGGCTTCAGGAGGTGGGGAAAGCCAGGGACCACCCCCCAGCAAAATAGGCAGAACTCTCCAAGCCACCCCATCCTCACATATGACTTCTACCTTTAACTGCTGAGTTGAGGGGAGGGGAAGCCTCTCAGTCAGCCCTGCACAACCCCATCAGGACAGGTGCGTTCAAGCCCTCCCACCTCGCTCCCGTGCGCCTCTCCCTACACTCACCCCTCTCTCTGGGGCCCTCCTTCTATGAGATGACACCAGAGTACCAGCTCTTAACCAAAAGATTCCATGCCAAGGGACCTCTTTTGTGTCCGCCTCCCCCAGTTGCATTTCCAGGCCCCCAGCACCCCCAAGGCCAGCCCCCCCACCCCCATCAGGTGCCCTGTGAATCAGCTCCCGGTGAGCAGGGCGCAGACTTCCTCCCTCCCAGGCCTCCCCGGGGACACATGGGGTAGTGGCAGGCTGCCCCCTCCCCCCAGCCAGCTGGGGTGGGGGCCCACATCCGGGCAGGCCCCCAGGGGCTCGAGGCCTGGTTCACGAGGAAGCCTGCAGCCCGGCCCGCCTTGCCGACCCCTGACAGGGTGGCGTGGGAGGAAAAATCTTCCAAGCCATCTGCTCAGCTGCTGGGTTTCCGGACAGGGCGGGGCAGGGGGACGCCAGGAGGACTTGGTCTCCTGGGGAAGTGCCCCTTGCCCCTGCCAGGATGAGGGATGCCAGGCTGAGCAGCCCAGTGGTGGCCAGTGGGACCCTGAAGCCCCCATTGAGGAATGCTGGTTGCCCAGGCCTTGGGGCCCAAGTAAGCGGCGTCCAGCTATGGTTTGGACCTGCCCAGTCCCCAAGGGAACTCAGGCCCCCGGAAGCCAGGGAGCGGGGCACAGGGCTCCTGGGTCCAATTAGGCCTGACTCAGCGAGTGACCCCAGCTGACTCACTTCCCCTGGGCAGCCTGCCCGCCTCAGTTTCCTCAGGGAGGGCGGGTAGCTGGGAACAGAGTCTGGCTGGGAACAAGCAACTTGTACTACACCTCCGGGCTCTCCAAGGCAGGCTTCCCCCGTCACCAGGTGAAAGCAGCTCCCTGCCCCGCCCAGCCAAGGATGCTGAACACCTGGGGGTCCCTGGAGACCGTTTTCTTAGGAAACCTGGCTATTAAATGCCAGCCCCCTCTAGGGCATTAACAACAGGAGCTCATATTGAGCGTTGACTGCATGCCAGGCATTGTGCATGCCTCTTCTCAAAACAACCCTATTAGTACTCCCATTCATAGATGAGGAGGCCAGTAGTTCAGAGAGGTTAAGGGATAAACCCAAGGTTGCACAGCCATAGCAATTATACCCAACACAGTTCCATTCCCTACCTAGAAGCTCATACACTTCACATATGGACTCACATACAGGCTCATATACCCTGGAGAAGCTGGGACTCTTGGCCCCCATTGGCCTAGAGAGGTCAGGTAACTTGCCCAAGGCCTCACAGCTGGCAGAGCTCAGATTTGGCTCCAAAGCCCATGCTGCTACCGGAAGAAGCAGGAACTGAACAGGACAGGCCTCTTATTTTAATAACAATAACAACACTAACAATATCTATTATTAGTTGAGTGCCAGGCCCAGCACTGAGTGCTTTATGTGCCCTGTCTCCTCCACTCAGAGTGGGCAGGGCTGGGGACTGGCAGCTGGGAGGTCCCCTCAAGTGTTGCCAGCCCCACCCCCTCTACCCTTGTAGAGGATCCAGCAGGTGGAGGGTGTCCTGTGGTGGCACAGCCAGACCCGGACATCCAGGGATCCCCACAGGCTGAAATGCTGCGGCACCTGCTGGGCCAGGCTACTGCCACATCTGGAGTGGCTCTACAAGATCGAATTTGTACTAGAAAGTTCTGTTTATTGGAGAGGGATCAAGTTCAGGGTTCAGAAGAATGGAGGGCAGGGAGGGGATCTGGAAGGAAATAGCAGAGCTAACATTCACAATTAACAAGATAATAATAACCTCATCCTTATTACTATTCCTCCCTCTGATAAAGCCATTGTAAACACTTTGTGAATTCACTCACTCATGGTTCCAGTGACCCTAAGAAGTAGGTACTATTATCACACCTATTTGACAGATGAGGAAACTGAGGCTCGGGTGGTTAAGCAAGGCCTCATAGCCAGGAAGCACCATCACCTCATCCTGCCTGGGATTCCAGAACTCTTCTCCCAAAGACTCAGGAAACCTCAGAGCTGCACGTGCAGGTACTCAAGGGATGCTGATAAATGAATATTCCACAACCAGTAACAATAGCACTAATGATAATAATGAGGGAAGTAGCCACCACCACCAGCACCTGTAACTGAACCCTTTTACTTTACATCCCAACCACAAACCTATGATCATTCCATATCATATGTGGGGGAAACTGAGGTTCACAAGTGCCACTTGGTCATGCCCTGAGCTGGAAAAAGGCAGTGGGGGAATAGAATCTAAGCTTCCAGGCCCCTCCTCTGCCACTGCTGAGCGCCTGAAGGTCCTCAGACGCCAGCAGCTGATACTTTTAGTCCAGCCCCTTCCCAGCCGCCGCCTCTGTGGCCCACAGGGACTCACACAAGTTCTAGGAATGTTCACCCTTTGGCTCAGAAGGATTTCCCCCCCCCCCAGAGGGGGGTTGTGGGAAAAGGCTCAGAAAAAGTATATTAAAAACCCTTCCAACTTCCCCCAATGGGCCCTGGCCGCTCATCTGCTGACCCCAGCCTGACCAGGCAGCCTTGGCCTGCTCTCCCCCTATTAGGGATGAGTCTCCGACCCCTGTGAGCCCCAGAGAGCCTCCAGAGCTGTTCCCACTCTGGCAGCCAGGTAAGTGATTGGAAATCCAGACACAGCTCACACCCACAACCCTGGAGACCCATGCACCCACCGTCCCGGCGGAGGCCCTGTGGTTGGACTGGAAATGAGGACGCAAGATGGGCTGGCTGCCCCAGCTAAGCCTGGCAGCTGCTGGGTATTAAGGGACGGTCATCACCCAGGGGAGGGGATGCAGGTAAGATCTCTGCCCCTCCTGCCCCCAGGCCTGGAACTTGGCTCTTCAGACATCTTGCCAGGCCCTCTGTTCTGAAGCCCCCACCTGCAGCCCAATTTCACTTCCTCCCACTCAGTCCGGCCTGGCCATTCCCCCCTCCCTGGAGGCCCCCAGCTGCAGGCAATGACCTCCTCACCTACATCATTGTGGCCCGGGAATAGGGAAGAGAAACAGGAGAATGAGGAAACTAAGAAAAAAAGTGGACTGGCAGGCAGGGCCCCCTCCCCAGTTCCTCAAATGCACTCCCCATCGCCCCAAAAACCCCCAGGAACAGAATGAGGGAAGGGAGGGGATTTCTGCACCAGGCCTTAAGGGCCTCTGAAATACCCTTCCAGCTGACGTATAAGGCCAATGGCCCGCGTCCCTTTTTTTTGGAGGGGGGAGGATTCCCCTGGAGCCACAGGTCTAGGGTGGGAGGGCACCAGCCCAAAAAGACATGAGCTCTGGGAGCCTCAACTCTTTAGAACCCCCAGATTCAGTAGCATGGGGGTGCCTGGCCCGCCCCGCCTCCCAGATGCAGGGAATGGGGAGAGGGGCTTCTGGAACGAAGGGGAGAGCTGTCCTCTTAGCTACTTGGCCTGGCTTGGGAGAGTGGGGAGGGGCCCCACTCCAGGAGGTCTCTTCCAACCTCACCGGCTCAGTTTGACTACTTTCACTTTCAAGGGACCAAGCGGTGACCCTCGACCCCTTCTTACCAGGCACAAGTTGACTAGCCGGACTACTTTAAGAGGTGGCTGCGGGTATTAACCATACCCTCTCAACGCCTCCCCCACTGCCTCAGCTACTCCCATTACATCCCCAACACGTGTGTGGGTGGGGGTGTCGGCCGGGAGGGTGTCGCAGGAGCTGGGGAACGGTCACCCCTAAACACCCCCATCTGAGTTAGCTGCAGGACAATATTTTAGGTTGTTGTGGGAGTGCGCAAATACTGGGCAGAACTGGACACGGGGCCTCCTCTTCCCCCATTAAAGCCCTCCCAGCCCCGGAGGAGGGGAGCGCCAGCAAAGGCGGGCTTACCTGAGAGAGAGGGGATCCGGGCCCGGCCGGCCCATGGTGTCGCGC